TCCATATCATCCGCCATGCAGAGAATGGGATTGGCAGCATTCATCAATCACATAGCCTATATACCCTCCAAGACCCTGAGGAGTAACAGCTGCAATCTGAGCAAGTTTGCTTTGCATGTTAACTTACACATTTCTTCAAAAAATTAAGCATCCAAAAACAATAAGAACCACTGTTAAGAAAAATGTAGCACGATTATCCTGACTCATCTCGTCTCTCTGTGACAAAGCTCTGACATGGAGCGAAAAAAAGGAGGCCTTTGTGTGTCAGATTACAATACACACACACATAGGAGACTATGAGCATGACCTACATACTGTACAATATGATAAGCATAGCCATGATGTACCAGAACCAGGCTAAGTGAATACAATTGCATTACTATATTCAGATTTGATGAGACTATTGCTGTTTATGCACCCCTGGAAAGCCTTGGTGAGTGCGTGCTAAAGGACTAATCTACATAGAAATGTATGGTATGTAAAGATACTGTTCTAAAGGCTGTTATATCCATGGAAAGAAATGTTAAGCCCTGTACAAGTAGCCTAAACATACCGGTAAGTCTAATCGTCATGGCGACAAGAACCTGGGAGGGATGCCCCTGCCCCCCTCCAAGTGTCTGGAGACATGATGGCAACTGGCAACACAGACGCAGGAGTGCTGGCATTACAGCCACACACTCGCCTGGCATTCAGATTAACTATTAATAAGCCCATCCGCCCTCATTCCCCAAGTTTACATTTTACAATACAGGATAGACTAATATATCAGGCCTAATTCCATTGTCTTTGCTTCACTCACTGAGCTTATATTGGACCTTAATTAGAGGCTATATACACAGGCTATTTCATATTCAACCATGAAACAGGAGAATTATCTGTATGAAAGCTGAGTCTGATAGGAAAAGTGAATAATCTTTTTTTAAACAACAGGAAAACAGCCTTCTAAAATGAAGACTGTGATGGTGGGATAATACATTATCCTGTTCTTTATTGTCTTAGCAAAGAGTATCAGGCCAAGGTCTTCTGTACACTGTGTTCAAACCCTTAAATCTTAATGTTCCTCAATATGGTGTAGGCCTATGCTTTCTGAGCTGTCATGCTTACGCCTATTCACTGGAACTCTTTTATGATATTATGCTTTTGCCTACTGGTTTAAATTTTGCCCCTTCAAGGCAAACAATGCAGGTTTTCGTTCAATAGGCTGCATAGCAAAAAAGGGGGACACTAATAAGTTAAAAATTGCCGCAGTTTAGCTGAGCTGTACTGAAAAGCATTTTTTCCAAAGAGGAACAGAAATCTGTGCTTTGCAGCCACATCACAATCATGAGCAGCTTCCGCTCCTTGTCCAGTTTCTGCCAAACTGGTTCATTGTGTACCGTTACCAAGCCACGTGGACCGTGGATAACTGTTATTAAAATTGACTCGACGCTTTATAACTACATAAAGTCAACATAGTTTATTAAGATTAGCTGATCGTGAGTTTCATTTTCTTTTTACACGCTTGAATGCGGCTGTGAAATGAATTAAATTTGTTGTCGGTGTCGCATTTCTTCTCCGCCATCATGAGGGAAGTAGGCCAACGTCGACAGATTAGACGGCAGTCATACGTTTGACACGAATGTGATTGACAGACACACTGGACCAATAGTGGAGAAGACATGGACGATTCCATTGGTCTAAATCTGTTCGTGTACATCAAGCGTAAAGAAATGAGCCAACCAACGTTCGAGCTTGAGGGGTAGAGGGCGGGGCTCAGTCGTAGTATAAAAAAGATGGTTGCGCCTTGGAGCACGCATACAGACACGTTAAGTCATTCATCGAAGGAGCCAGGCAACCTCCACAAAAGACAAAATGAGGGAAATTGTGCATCTCCAGGCCGGTCAGTGCGGAAACCAGATTGGTGCCAAGGTTAGTACAGCTTTTTATGTTTTTTTTGTTTTTTGTGCTGTTGAAATCGATGTATTTTAGAGAAGAAACGCCGCGTCCTGTGTGCTTGTGGGCCGCTGCTTTGTGTCGGAGAAGCCACACCCTGCGAGCACCGCTGTGTCCTACTTATGAAAATGTTACTTTAACGTGGAATACAAACATAAAACCTCAAGAGCTGCCCTTATGGGTTGTGACGCGTCGAATTGTAACGAATATAAATCTATTTTCCCTTAATTTATAAATCAGATAAATTGTGTTATTCATGATTTTTGTACGCCGGTTGTTTGAATAACTCAACCGTTAGATATCAGTTAACCACCGTTGAGTGGTTAAAATCATTATTTTACATGATTAACGACGTAATCGGTTCCGCAATGCGAAATAGAGGAAGTGCGTGTTGTGGCCCCTCTTGGCATGTAATGTTATGAATTAAATATATATATTATATAATATTTAATTAATTAATAAACATAAATGTCCGCAGAACCATCCGTTGTCTTGGTAACGGTCACCGGCTCTTGTTGGCGGTTAGTGACGTAGCTTGGAATGTTCGAATTCATAACCAGCCAATCGGCGATGAGGCCGCGCGCGCGTTCTGCTGAACGGCGGGAAGTTGTAGTTGAACAATTATCTAATCAACCTCTATAGACCTGCTACGTCAGCTTTAAAATGAAAGAAATAAGATGCATAATGACCTGCATCCACTTGAACATAAACTGCCTACTCATTCCCCTGTCACTTGTTTATGTTTAATCAGCCAACAATGTCTTCATGAATTTTATTATATTTCAGTTTTGGGAGGTGATCAGTGATGAGCACGGCATTGACCCAACTGGCACATACCACGGTGACAGTGACCTGCAGCTTGACAGGATCAATGTCTACTACAATGAAGCCACAGGTAAGGTTGAATTAGATACTTTTTTGATCCCAGAGGGAAATTCATAGCATCCAGTAGCAGGTTACAAAGACGTACATGACATGAAACATTTCTTACAAATGAAACCACAAAACCTACGCCCCCCCCCTCCCGTATGCATATTAACCCAAAAAAAAAAGATTTAAAGAATACTCCTAGATGAATCAAACTGTGCAATTAACAATAGACTTGTACATAACCTGTGCAGGGATAAAAATATATGTGCAATTTAAACTAGAACCTATAAACAGTTGAGGGAAAAAAATCTGTAATTAGCCCTGAATATAAAAAAGTGTGACCTTCTGAAGTTGTGAATTAGATGTTTTAATAGGCATAAATATTCTGGCTTTTTTTGTGAACATTACCCTCACGTCCTATATGCTTCATTAAGGTGGTAAATATGTTCCCCGCGCTGTGCTGGTTGATCTGGAGCCAGGAACCATGGACTCTGTGAGATCCGGACCCTTCGGCCAGGTCTTCAGGCCAGACAACTTCGTTTTCGGTAATTGTTCATTTGTCCTTACGTTCCTAGCTACTTCTCATTTTGCATTTAAGTACTGTTAAGCTTAATTCCCTCTTTTTCCCTCTCTCTTTTAGGCCAGAGTGGTGCTGGCAACAACTGGGCCAAAGGTCACTACACGGAGGGTGCAGAGCTGGTGGACTCTGTCCTGGATGTAGTGAGGAAGGAGGCAGAGAGCTGTGACTGCCTGCAGGGCTTCCAGCTCACACACTCTCTTGGTGGTGGTACTGGCTCTGGGATGGGCACACTGCTCATCAGCAAAATCCGTGAAGAGTACCCCGACCGTATTATGAACACCTTCAGCGTGGTGCCCTCACCCAAAGTATCAGACACAGTCGTTGAGCCCTACAACGCCACACTGTCAGTCCACCAGCTTGTAGAAAACACAGACGAAACCTACTGTATTGACAACGAGGCTCTGTATGACATCTGTTTCCGCACCCTTAAACTCACAACCCCATCATATGGTGACCTCAACCACCTTGTCTCTGCCACCATGAGCGGTGTTACCACCTGCCTCAGGTTCCCCGGACAGCTCAATGCTGACTTGAGGAAGCTGGCTGTAAACATGGTGCCATTCCCTCGTCTGCACTTCTTCATGCCAGGCTTCGCTCCCCTCACAAGCCGAGGCAGCCAGCAGTACAGGTCCCTCACTGTACCAGAGCTCACCCAGCAGATGTTCGACGCAAAGAACATGATGGCTGCCTGCGACCCACGTCACGGCCGCTACCTGACAGTGGCTGCTATCTTCCGTGGCCGTATGTCCATGAAGGAGGTGGACGAACAGATGCTCAATGTGCAGAACAAAAACAGCAGCTACTTCGTTGAATGGATCCCCAACAACGTGAAGACCGCTGTCTGTGACATTCCTCCCCGTGGCCTCAAGATGGCTGCCACATTCATCGGCAACAGCACAGCCATCCAGGAGCTGTTCAAGCGCATCTCTGAGCAGTTCACAGCTATGTTCAGGCGCAAAGCTTTCCTCCATTGGTACACCGGGGAGGGTATGGATGAGATGGAGTTCACAGAGGCTGAGAGCAACATGAACGACCTGGTGTCCGAGTACCAGCAGTACCAGGATGCCACCGCCGAGGAGGAGGGAGAGTTTGAGGAGGAAGGCGAGGATGACCTTGCCTAAACCTCAAATTGTCCAAAGCTTTGCTGTCAAATCTGCCATGAAAACGTAACGTTCCAACAAAGTCTTTTCCAGTTTTCAGTGTTCTGTCTGCTGTTCATGTGAATAAAAGTTTCTTCTGCATTTTTGAAGTCTTACTGTGTTTAATAGTATTCACAGGCTACCTTCAAATTAATGACATGTATTTATTAGAGTAAAGGCACTACACTGTAGATAAAGTGTAGTTGCATGGCTGGTGTTTTGCCAGAAATACAGATGTAAATAAACATTTAAATCTGTTCTGTAAATTATCTGGAAAGTAGTAATCATGATGGAAATATTGTGGATATAAATGTGGTACATTCAATGTTTTGATATTTTTATTCATTGTACATAAAGGTGCTGCTAAAATTTAGACATGGAGCACATGAATACAGATTACACTAGACTGCACAAATATATAACTGTACATTAAATGCATAAATATTGATTAAATTACAAGCTGTAAGGAAAGTGTTCATCAAATATCATATGCAGTGTTTGGCGTTTGAATTCTACTGATAGTTTGAAGGTAACATACTGATTATCCAGCTTCGTACTAACAAAATGATGCATCTTAAACCACCTCTGCAGACATTTCCATACTGTCGCTCAGTCTCTGACAGTTCCTGGTTGTGGTCGGTAGGTGGCAGTGTTGGCTAAACCACTCTCTTCCAAACGCAGTATGTGAGGATGCTCACAGCCAAGGCCAGCAGAGTCCAACAGCACACCTTCTTCACCTGGCTCTCCAAGCCCTGCTTCGCTCCAAAGCGGGACACAAAGCCGCTCTGTCAACAACAAACAAGTAGATTGAACTCTCAATGAACACAGACATATACTGTAATCATTCAGATTTCTAAGGAACACATTTTAACCTGAATTCTTACTTTAACCTTACGATTGTTGATACAACTTGGATTAAAAAGTCTTAAGAAACCTGTATTTTACAGTTATGATTTTACCCAATTAGTTTGTAGACACAATTAGGACAGCTGTTCGTGTTGTTACTGAATATACTAAACACAAAAAGAATCTGAATGTTCTCTACATGTAAAATAGTGTGATCCTGCAGCAGCAGCTCAACAGATATGACTGATAAACATTTTTATCAAAAATAAATAATTGTGGGAAAAAGCAGATTCAAGTTACATGAAAAAAACATGCAGACATTCTCTGGGGCGCCATTAAACCTTCAAGCTAAAGCTAATGTTCCTGTACCTATACACAACATCCTTGCCTTTTGGGTTATACTTAATTTTTTTTTTTTACAAAGGTTTATTTCTTTATGTCTTTATTTGAGAGACAGGGGCAGTGGGAGATCGAGTAAGAAATCAGGGCGAGAGAGTGGGGAACAACCCGCTGCAGGTCGGATTCAAGCCTGGGCCATTGCTTAGAGGACTCTACATGGGGTCTGTGTATGAACCACTGTGCACCGCGCCCCTCTTTTGGTTATTCATAGACCTCTACTCTTCTTTATGAGACAGTAAGCTTGTGTTTTTGTTTTACACCTTATAACAACAGACCATTTTCTCTGTACATGAGAATCATTTTACTCCTAATCTCCTGAAATCCCAGTGTAGCCTATTTTGAAAAATGAATGACAGACGATTAAAAAAATAAAATTAAACTCATTGGCCCAGGGATGACAATGAAAAGTATCCAAAATAAATATATTTATAGTAAGCCTCTGATCAGACATCTTCTCAAGCCTATTCCTACGCCGGAGTATTTTGAAATGTGTGTCTGAGGTTACATGTGGAGTGTGCACTCAATGAACAACTTCGGTTTGAAGCCAAAAAAAGCTTTTTGTTATGTCGAGTAATGTAGGTAGGTAGGTTGCTTTTCTCAGAGTTTAGAAAAGGATATCTGAGACATTGAAAAACTGTAGTGTGCAGCCTTCAGGTTTCACAGTTCAGATTACTTTAGATGCTCTAAAGGCCCGGAGATAACAATAAGACATGTCATCATTTCTGAACTGATTTTTTAAAAATTGTATTATGTAAAAATATATAAAATGAGTCTAATGCAGCCATCTACCTGATCTTTAATGGGACCCAATATCTCATCAAGTGAATAAGTGACATGATTATTCTATGTAGGATGTAGTGGTACATAGAAGGTCTGAACTTTCCCTAAATAGCCTCTTATATGTCACCAATGTTTATGAAAGTGCACTGCAGTATAGGTTCTCACCTTGTTTGACAAACTGCATTTCAAACTTGAGCTTATTTATTTTCTTAGTGTTATTTCTTCATTCCTTTAAGATCTTATTTGTCATCATATTTTCATATTTAATCTTCTCTTCTGATTGTTGTGGTTGTTTCAGTGAATTTAAAACAGTCTATTTTAGTCTCTCCTTCTCCCTTTCTCGTGATGCTTTTGATGCTGAAATGTGCTCTATAAATAAACTTCACTTGCAGCATGTCGCAGGGATTTTAGTGAGTTTTATACAAATTAAAGTGGTTTTGTATTAAATGGAGAATCAGGTTGTCTGATCTCCACTGTAGATGTTGATATTCCCTCATGAACACTCACCCATCCTCCCTTCTCCCGTATGTCAGGGCAGATGACCCTCTCCACATACGCCCCTATGCTCTCCTTCAGCTGAGGCAGGACCCCCAGCATGCCCCTCTCGTGGCAGTGCAGAGCCATCTGTCCGGCCAGCACATACACAGACAGCACCGCGCTCCAGGCCAGCTCCCTATTGCGCCCCCTAGGGACCGGAGGGAAGAAGTGCTCATCCAGGATGCCTGTGAGCATGGAGCAGGCCGAGTTCTCGGTCACGTCCTGGAAGATACGAGGCCAGCGACGGAAGAAGATGGGGAAGCGGTTGAGGAGCTCGTCCCCGGCGTGGCGCAGGGCGGCAGTGCAGGCTGTCGGGGCAGGACCCATCGTGCCATCTGCCCCCCCTGTGGTCACGTAGTCTATGTAGTCATGGACCATCAGGAAAGCCTCTCTCACCACCGGGTCAGGACTGTTCAGGCCCAGTCTGGCTTCTGGCTCCTCCAACTGGCACATGGACGCCTCCAAATGTGACTTCTCCAAGCTGTAGTCTCAGTCAGCCACAGAGCACGGGAGCATTTCCAAGCAGAAAAGCCATTCCCTAAGTCACACCAGGCTGTCATGGGGGTGTGAGGGATGTAGTATATAAAGAAAAAAAAAGAAATTACCAAAAAAGAGAAGAGTGGTATTAACATGCAGCAAATAAAGAATTTACAACTCACCTTCTGTCCAAATACAAACTCAAGAGAACACAGATAAACAAACAGTAGGCAGGTGAAAGAGAGTCGGGGTCCCAGGGAGTGTGACTTGTTGCAGTCGGACTTAGTCACCCACTACCCCCAACAGCTAAATATAGAGCCCTTGTTGCAAACTGATCTCCTACCTCACATGCAAAGTCGTGTCCGTACTGAAACATATCCCCATTCCAACACAGGAGGAGTCAGGGCTAAATAAATACTACAGAGGACCTGCAGCACTGTAACAACAGCAAACAAAGATCATGCATTACATATGCATGCATGGGTTAGATACTACAGTTAGGATTTTCACATCATTAATTTATTTCTGTTGAAAAATTGTCTAAAAAGTTTACTGGTAATTGTCATTTGTTTTAATGAACCTTTGTACCACATTGATGTTTACAGTTTTTTTTTTTTCAACAGGACTTGCTATAGTGAAAAGTTTTGTGCTCTAAAACACATGGGGGGACATTTCTTTCATTCTTTGTACCAGGCTGTAAAAATGTTAATTTCTGTTGTAAAAACTGGCTTTTTTTTTAATATGGTGTGTATGTGACTTCCTGTACTTCTGCAGCCAGCCTCTAGTGGACACTTGACGAACTGCAGGATTTTTCACTTCCACATCGGCTTCATTTTTCAACAGAGGAGGTTGCCGCTTGATCATGTTGTACTGTGGTATGTGCGGCTCTGTCTCCGATCCCCTGCAGTGTGTGGGTGTGCTTCTGTGAGAGTGTGTGTCTGTGTCTGTGTCTGTGTCTGTGTCTGTGGGTGTCATTCAGGTGCTGATGCAGGTGCTGCATTTGATTGATCAGTTCAACCGAATTTGCTGCTTCCTGATTGGATCAAGCCTGACATCACAGCTTGTAAGTCTCAGATGCTGCAGCCTGCTCTGTCCGTCACCTCACTCAGTTACATTAACAGTTATTCTGTTAGTTTGTAAATAACCTTTGCAAACAGATGAATTGTAAACTGAACACTCTTTTTGGCTCCTGTTTATTTTTAAGGAGCTCAGGTAAGATAATGTCTTTTGTTGGATGTTTTGTTGTCAGGGAGGAATGATTAGGGATTGATTAGATAACTTTTTGTTTGTTTACTCAACTCTGAAGCTTATAATACTGAATTGGACTTGTGCTGCTGAATTATGGGAGAGGGAAGAGTGGAGGTCACTTATCATGTTGTGACTTTAGGATCACCTGGGGACATAACGGCACATGCACAAACAAATTACCAGCACTTAAAAGGGATTGTGACAATTATTTAACCTTTAAAATAAACTCAAACATGGGCGATAAACAAACCAGTCATAATCTTTAATCATAATATCGGTCTCCTCATCTGATGCTCCTGTCTGTTATTTGTAATTTAAGATATTTGTTTCATTTGTAAAAGTGTTTGACTTTTATTTTGAGTGCTGTTTTGTAGTCTGTCCTGAAGTTGTACATTCATTTTATAGTATACAGTACAGTATAGTACCTGCCCAGTGTTTCCGAGTGCATACATAATAGTAATAATAATAGAATGTACATAAGATCGGGGTATTAGTTTTGTTTATTCAAATATAACATAAATAAATATCCAAAATAACACTTAAAATAAATAATAAATCCAAATAATAGCATAACATGTTCCCCTTTGGTATCTTACTACAGACTGTGACAGCCTGACAAAAAGCCAGTTATGCCTTACTTTCAAATGATATACAGCGTGCTCATTTGACTGCTCCACAGCCTACTTGTTGCAAAGTTTGCAAGATGTGTTTGAACATTTTATTTTACAGGGCTTTATGAAAAAATATTCCAATGCCCTATTACATGGGAAGGCCTCAGGATGGGGTCCATTTATGGAGATCCTCAGGCAGGCAGCCAGGTGTTCTCCTTGAAACTGGTTTCAGGTCTGATTTTGACCTGAGGATAAAGCAAAGAAAATACCACAAACTGCACTAATATAAAGAAAATGCATGGTTATTTGTTGTCCTGTTCAAGGTCATGCTCTTACCCTGTTCACCGTTGAGAAATCACGTTGTAATTGACACAGGAAACGGGAAAAACGAGTGCAATGCCTGCAAGGAGGCTCAGGCAGGGGTAGAGGTTGGTCCACTCATCAAACTCGCTTGCCAGCAGACTCATGATCTCCTCCTGGTTAGTGTTCTTGAAACAACATTTGGTTTACCAAGGCATTAGTGTATGTGTGTGTATTGTGAACTGTAGTTGATTGTAATCAGAATCAGCTTAATTGACCCACCGTGAATGCCCCAGTAAGGACATGATTTTTGAACGAGGACCACCCCTGCAGGACCTCATTCTCATGTAGAGGGCAAAATTTCCTAACAAGAGTCCGCAGATGAGACATGTTGATTGTATCATCTTGTAGAGTGGTTGATTGCGGTGCGGGTCCCAAGATACTGAAGGCCCCAAGAATGTCCAGATCATGAAACCTCCTCTCCAGGTGTGTTTCCAGGCCAAATCAACATCTTTCTATTAAGAGCTTACACCCACCGTTACCTCTGTCATTAAGGGCCAGGCCATAGTCTATTCAGGACAGAATGATTAGTTATGAATAGACAGAAGATAACTACAATGGTATCAAATAACTATTACCTTTATTTTCAGATCACTGACACCCAGGGTAGCCGATGCTGCCCCGAGTGTTGCAGTACGATTTGCACTGTTTCTGAAAAAGAAATGAAGTTCTTGAAGGTGATCCCTAAAGGTAGCCATGTAACTTACATCCTTTGAGGAGTCCTTGCAGGCAAGGGCCAATCTGTGGGTAACACAAGCAACAGCCACAATTTTTTGGAAAGCTGTCTTTAACTTGATTCGCAACCCCTTTCACAGGCCGCCGTATATAAAATGAATTAGTGACAAGCATGGGATACAACAGACAAAACAACCTCACATAGGCATTAAATATTTACCTGTCATAACGGCTGCCCCATCAGTGTTGGGAGGCCCTTCCTCAAGATTACATCCTTGATCGTAATAGATCAAGGACATCGTCAATAGAGACCAGGTCCAGGAATTGATTGAACACATGTCCCTCTTTATCCAGGTATCTGAGGCTTGAGAGAAAGCATAGGCAAGTATTAGTATTAACATAAGAACAAAGGATGTATGCGATTCTAAAATCAGACAAAATAAATGGTCCCATACCAGACATGCAAATGAAGCAGTCTGGACATAGAGACATCAGTGCTCTCATCGACTTCCAGGCTACATGCCTGTGATGATTTGATCTCAGTGAGAATCGGCTCCTCGATGACTCCTGCTAAGATCTCAAGCATTCCGGCAATGATACGATGAGATCTATAATTATTCCTCTGGTCAATCTGACATTGGGAAAAGTAAAATATAAAATACTTAAAAAATGTATTCATTAATGTTAAGATTGAATTAAATTTTAAATAATGGCTATGGGGACCTTTACCTTTAATCTCTTGAAATAGTTACATCCTAGAAGCTCAGCCAGGCTCAAAAGCTTTGAGTAGTTTGTGTGGGGGGCCAGTTACTTTTTTAATGAGCCAGTAAAGGCCATTGAACCCACCAATGATTGCCTCGTGCTCTAAAACAACAGTGGGCTCAAAGGACTCCATCGTTGAGATGCCTGTAAATGACAAAGTTATTAGAAAATGATTTGAATATACTGAAGTTATTACAAAACGGCTGTGGAAATCAGAACCCACCAGATGAAACAAGAGGCCTGACATCTGATGCTCTCCTGGTGGTGCTTCAGTGACGTGCCGTTCCAAGTAATCATTTCTGTATATAGTCGCTCCGACCTCGAGAAAAGCTCTCTTTGCCCTGCCTTTCTTATTTGCCTGCATGTGGTGCCTGCACAGTCAACAAAACATCCCTAAAAAGTAAAGCAATCATTGATCAAATTAGCTAAATATCCAGATATACCTGTTAATTTATTCTTTTTTTGCGATTGAATTATGCACAACACAATAAGATCACATATAATAACAAGTAGCTGAGGAAATAAGAAAGAAAATGGGGGAAAAAAAGATTATTCATAGAACAAATTATGCAGATAAAAATGTAACTTACCATGCTGTGTGTGGAACAGCCAAGTCTTAAATTGAGGTATTCTCAGCCACTCTGGATCAGTGCCTCTGTGCCGGCTGATGTCCTGTCTACAAAGCACAGAAGAATAGAAATGAGGCCTATTTCTAAGGAAATGTGCTTTTCTGACCTGACCTGCTTCTGCATCTGTGTTTGCTGTCAACCTCACATGTTGGCTGTTGTCCTCCTCTCCTATTTCTCTCTCTCCATTACCCACATCCTATCCCATCCTGACTCTCCCTAGCAGTGCTTTTAGCTCTCACAGCAATAATGGTTGAAGCCTGGAAATATTCTAAACAAATAAATTGGATTGCTTCTCACACTGGTCGGACTGTTCAACTTTACCACGTGTGTTTTTTAAAAAGTTATATACCTCTTATACCTCTGGTCCAGTCTGTCTTTGCGCCTCCTCAGTACGCGCCCTTTTGAGTTTGGGGAAAAAACTTTTCAATGTTCATCCAGATTGAGGGAACATATCAGCGTCAGATTTTTAAAAAGTAACATTAACATGATCCTTGCACGAGCATGCAGTCGATATGTAACCATAGTATGTAACCCCTCAATTCTGGTTCTGTCTCAGCAGACTGTAGAGATCCTGTGACAACTTCTCTCAGGTTCATAGCATTTATTTATCAGCACACAGCTGTCACTCAGGCAAACACAAAATGATGATTGGTGATGATGGTAAAACATACAGCACAGGTCCAGCCCCGTTATTGAGATCGTCAGCCATCAAAGGGGGCACAATACTTTTACAATGTGATCGTTTAGTTTAGTTATAAAAATACATTTGTATTACAAATAAAAAG